AAAAGAAGGGGAGTATGGAATGAGGAAGGAAAGACGCAATTTAAGGAAAAGTTAGGCGCGATTGAAGGAAAAAGAGACCTGCAAGAGGAAATAGAGGAAGGAACAAGAAAGATAAGAAGGGTGATTGAGGAGAACGAGGACAAGAATGAAAGAATGACTATCAAGAACAAAAGAGGGTGGTGGGACGAGGAATGTACGGAGAGCAAGAGGGAAGTGAGGAAAGAACTAAGGAAATGGAGAAAAGGGAAAGGAGAAGCAGAAAGATACAAAGAAAGAAAGAAAGAATATAGGGAAATGTGTGATAGAAAGAAGGAGGAGAAAGAAAGAATGATCAGAGAGATTGGAGAAGCGAAAACGGAGGGAAAGGTATGGGAGTTGATAGGCAGAGTAAGGAAGAGAAGAAGAAGGGTGAATGAAGAGATAAAACCGGAAGAGTGGAAGGAGTATTTCATGGATCTGATGGGTGGAGTGGAGAACAGAGTGGTAAAGGGAGAGGGAGACAGAAGCAGACAGGAAGAAGAAGAGATAGGACTAGAAGAGATAAGAAACGTAATAAAGAAACTAAAAACGGGAAAAGCAATAGGCAATGACGGGATACCTAACGAGGCATGGAAGTACGGAGGAGAAGAAATGGATATGGGAGGTATGCAAACGTGTCTGGAGAGGTGAAGGCTGGCCGGAACAATGGAAGGAAGGGGAGATAATCCCATTAGTTAAAAAAAGAGAAGGGCGAGAGGTGAAGGACTATAGAGGAATAACCATCATGTCTTCGATGTACAAAATCTACACGGCGGTACTGGCGGAAAGAATAAGAGAAGAAGTAGAAACGAAGAAATTGATCCCCGATAATCAAACGGGATTCAGGAAAGGAATGGGAACAATGGATCAAATATTCGCTTTGAATTACCTGGTGAACAGACAAATAAGAAAAGAGAAAGGAAAGATGACAGTGTTTTTTGTGGATCTGAAGGCTGCCTTCGACTCAGTGGACAAAAGAATATTAATAAAGGCAATGAGAGAAAAAGGAATGAGACAAGGACTGATAGACAGAGTAGAGGAAGTATTGAGGGAAACAAAGAGCAGAGTAGGGAAAGGAGGAGAGAGTGATGGTCAATTTTGGACGGCGAAAGGCCTGAGACAGGGATGCCCACTAAGCCCAATATTATTCAACCTATTAATCGCAGACATAGAGGATCATATAAAAAAAGGCGGATGGGGAGGAGTGAAATTAAGAGGCGAGAAAATATACACGCTAATGTATGCAGATGCTATTGCACTGCTGGCAGAGGAGGAGCAGGACATGAGATCGATGATAAGCAGGTTAGAAGGATATTTAGACAGAAAAGGGTTAACTCTGAGTATAGAGAAGTCAAAGGTAATGAGATTCAGAAAGGGAGGAGGAAGGAAGAAGAAGTACGACTGGAGGTGGAAGGGAAAAAATTAGAAGAGGTTAAAGAATTCAAGTATTTAGGGTATACGATGAAGGAGAATGGAGGGCAGGAGGCGCATATCAGAGAGAGAAGAAGGAAGGCAGCAAGAGTAATGAGGGAAGTATAGGGGATAGGGAAGAGGATGTGGAAAAAGGACTGCAAAAGAAGGATCTGGCTATACGACACACTGATATGGACAGTGATGGGATACGGGGCAGAAGTATGGGGATGGAAGGAGAGGAGGGAGGTAGAAGGTATTCACGAGAGATATCTTAGATGGGTACTTGGAGTAATTGGAGGACGCCGGGATATATGGTCAGAGACGAGCTAGAAAGAGAGAAGATGAGAAGTAGAGCAAACAAGAGAACATGGAAGTTTGAAAGAAAATTGGAAGAAGGTAGAGGAGGAGAGATAGCGAGAAAGTGTTTGGAAGAAATGAAAGAGAGATGGAAGAAAGGAAAGGTAATAGGGAGATGGGAGCAGGAGAGAAAAGATTACTTGGAAGGGATCGGAGTAGAAATGGAAGGAGGAGAGGAGTTGGAGGAGGAGGAATTGGAAAAGAAGGAGAGAGATAAGGAGAGACAAGAAAGGATGGAAAAGATCGTAGGATCGAAGTGCAATAGATGGTATAAGAGCATAAGGAAGAACGGGATCCCGGACTATCTAATGAAGGGATGGGAGGAAGCAAGATGGAACAGGATTGCAAGATTCAGACTGGGTAACGAAGTGAGGGAAGGACTATACTGGGAAAATGAGGAGGACAAAAAATGCAGGATGTGTGGAAAGGAAGAGGAAACATGGGAACATGTATGGGAGGAATGTACGAGATGGGTGGAATGGGAAGGAGAGGGGTGGCAGGATGTGGCAGAGAGATTACTAGGAGAAAAGGGAGAGGGAAAAGAATGGATGAAAGCAATAGAGGAAAGGAGACGAGATGGAGGAGGGAAGATAATGAGAAAGGAAGAAGGACAAGCCAACAACTCAACGAAAGAGGATCAAGGAGGGCGAGACAACGAAAAGGATCGAAGAAGAATATGTTTATAATAAATTATATGTATTTTAATTGTATGTAAATTGTTGTAAACTGGATGTACAGGGTTGGGTACGTCCCTAAAAAACGCCCTTTTAGACCCCTTGGGGTAATAAAGTATCTTATCTAAAATAACAGTAAACTTTTTCGGGTGTTTCAAAAAAATTTTTTATTTTTATATTATATTTTTTTGCAAAATATTGCAAAATGATTTCAAAAATATTTTTCTCTATAACAATACAGCTTCTAAAAAACAAGTACATCTGTAAAAAAAAAAATTGTTTTATATTTCTTATATACGTAGCATTAAAATATACAAGTAATGGTATATACATGTTAAATATCTGAGTTTATAATTTGTGAATGTTACATATATATTTTATTATCATATGGTTTTACTGTCAATAAACTTAAATAAATTTAAAAAGCTGTCTTTTAAAAAAGTTTCCGTGTTACAAAATATATTTAAAAAATTTTAATTATTGTGTTACATAGTAGACTACATACGAAATATATATATATCACAAGGTGATTTCAATTCAAGTGCCAATTATCTCCGTCATTTATCTCAGAAAGTATTGGTTTGTTGGAAAAATGTTACAGATAAAAGTTGAACAGTTTAGAAGGGGCCAATAAACAATCTTATTAGATTTTGGGTCAAGCATCCGTGTTGGGCCCAGTACGACCTAAATTAAATTTTTTAAATGTTTAGCTTACAATATCTTGATAATTATTTGTCGAAGGAAAAAATAGTATTTGTCTCAAGAATATGCTGTTGCAATAATACCCCCTATTTTGATACTTGTGTGTGTATATATATATATATATCTCCTTGGAGCTTTCATACATAAATATATTTAAAAAATTTGAGATACTATTGGAACAGCATATTCTTGAGACCAAATCAAGTCAGAAAGTCCTGTACTATACTTTTTCCTCTGACGGACAATTATGGGAATATCGTAAGAGCTAAAAATATTTTGAAAAATTTACCAAGTTTTCTTACATTTTAAAAAGTATTACACATAAAAAAATGTTTCGGACAAAAATTGTTTAAATTAATAAGTAAAAAAAGACAACACATAAAAAAATGAGGATTTCTATTTCAATAATTTAACTTGGGCGCTATTGGACCCAACATAGAGTTCGCGGATTTAAAATCTAATAAAATCGTATATATATATTGGCATCCTCTATCAATACTTTTTTAGATAATTAAAGGAGATAATTAGCACACGAAATATTAAAATTTATAGATTTATTTCGTCTTATCAATAATTCTCTTAATAATTATCTGATTTATTTTTTGATTTTAAATTTATGTATCAAATTGTGAGAACATTACGTTATATATTATATTCTAATTTCCATAAATATTCAGTATAATAACATAAAAAACTTGTTTAACAGTTTGTCAGAATAGTTATTTAATATTTATCATTCAATATTTAAATATTTATATTTAGGTGTAAAAAATATGCGTGTACATGTAAGAGGGTACATTATTTAATAAAAATATTGGTTCTGTACATGATAAAAACTGACATAACTTAATTCTTTTTTATTATTGTACTAAGTTTAGTTTTATCCAAATATAGCAAATGTAAAGTGTCCAATGGAAATTGTTTAATTTTGTTTATTTAATTCTTCTAAACAAGATACGCCTGTATGACGGTGAGGACAGGAAACTGTAATATCTTTTTGTAAATTTTTTTATCAGGAAATGTCTCTCGTTCAATTTTCAATAAAATATCATTCTTGAAAACATTTAAAACATTTTTCGTATGCATTATGACTTTTATTCGGAACAAAGTTATTAGAATTTTCTGGTTTTTAATTCTCATTGTACATAAAATTGAATTACAATTTACTTTGTGATATAAAAGTCAGTTTGTCTGTATGGTTCAACAATTTGTAACATATTAATCAAATGAGATATATTTAATTCACTACGGTTAAGGTTGTCTATATCATTGTTTCTTCTTTTTTACTCAATTATCTATATCCTTGTATCATTGTTTTTTTTCTCAAGCAATTATTTTTATCTTTTTTTTTTATATACAGAGTGAGTCATTTTATCGACGCAGGCAAATATAAAAAAAAATTAGCAAGTTATGGAAAAATGTTTCAGACAAAAGTTGTACAGTCTAAAATTAGATACATGATTAAGATGTAAGTCATATCGTAGATGTTGTTTTCAAGACATTTTAAAGACGACTAATTTTTTAAATTAATACTACGCTACAAATATCAGTCTGTTTTTGTTTTTTATCATTCAGATCAGGTATAATTTGTGTATATTTTAAAGCCCGAATACTCTTTACATTTCCTTTATAAAATACGTTATCAATACAGAATCCTTTCGATATATATATAACTGACGTATTTGGCTTCGTAATCCCCGTAAAAAATTGCAGATATTCATGTGTGATTGAGATAGTTATTTAAATACTCATCTGCTACAACATCCAATGTCAACAGATTAATATCAACAATCTCCTGCGACAAAATGGTTTTTAGTATTTCTGTTCTCGCGTAAAAATGTATCTGTAATATCAACAAAACATCGCGACGTGTATACATTGCAGAAATCTTACACACTTCTTATTGTCCGGCAAAATAATTATTTCTTATTTTTAGACGCTACGTTGCGAGCGGAGGATGGTCCAAAAGGTCCACAAAAACAGTTTTTTGCAAATAATTTTGGGAAATATCAATTTTACGAAAATTTATGTAGATATAAAAATTGTAGCTTACAAAATTCCGCACAATTTCGTTTTTTCTTCACGTCTGTACAAACAAATGAAGCAGATATGGATATCTTTTTAACAGCGGTAGTTTTACGACGCAAAAAAAGTATACTTGTCATTTTAAAAAGTAATAAAAATATCTTGAAGAAAAATTTTTAACATTACTGTTTCCAACCAATCCGGACAGTTATTTTCCGAAATGCAACGTACAATGATATTTTTTCACGTTTCTTGCTCTCAACTTCAGGCTATCTTTACCAAAATGGAATCGCGCGTACATCGCGTTCAAAATTTTATTCTCTTTTACTTTCATTATACATTCATTACGCACGAATCTATTTTGGTAAAGATAGCTTCAAGTTGAGAGCAAAAAACATGACAAAATGTCATCGTACAGTGCATTTTGGAAAATAACTGATTGGAGGCAGTAACGTTGTGTATTTTTTTTCAAGATATTTA